TGAGGTTACCACAGCATCATGTGGTCCACGGTGAACTTTGGCACGCCAGTTTCACCCCCTGGAAGGCAGATTTTGTTGTATTTCCCACGAAATCTTCTGTCATCACCTAAGCTGGTTCCTGTTCTTTACAGCTACCAGTCTCTGATAAAATTTATTTTAAAATGATATTATTTACAACTACTGTGCTATTTCACATTTTATTTTCATATAAAAGGTTCTTCTCTTACTCTGGATGCCAGCATTACAGGTTGAGTATCTCTAATCTGTAAATCTAAAATCTGAAAATGTCCCAAAACCCAAATTGATTTTTAGCTTACACAAGTAGCAAATTCCTGCCTAACCTCAGGTGAGTCTCCATCACAGCCTAGCACTTTAAAAATCTATATAAAATGACCACAGGCTATTTAAATAAAATGTATGTGAAACAAATAACTTCTGGGTTTAAATGTGGATCCTATCCTAAGATACCTTACTATGCATATGTGAATATTCCAAAATGAAAAAAATCTGAAATACTTCAAGTATTTCAGAAAAGGATATTCAAAGCCTGCACAGTGTCATACACACCAAACAGTCCATTAACTCATGTAGGTGAGAAATGTGCTATTTATTTTCCTGCTAAGATCATATCTTGTTGTTATTTTTAATTGTTTTTTTAAGATCATAACTTGTATTTGGACATTATTTCTAGTTACCAGACAACAGATGACAGGGGGTGGGTTATCACTTACTTTATACAAACCGAAATTAGTAATTTTCAAACATTTTACACTATTTTTTCAAATACTTTTGGGAATACTGTTGAAGTTCTTTGAATCCTTGTGGGTGACAGAGAGGCATAAGCCTTGCTTAGTCTTGAGAGTAAGAAGCCCTGGCCGTTTTGGAGCCTCTTGTCCTCTAGCTACTTCTTTGTGGCTCAGTTCATTCTTTAAATTTTCTAAACATTATTGACCCAAACTTGCAAACAATAAAAACACAACACACACACACACACACACACACACACACACACACACACACACACACACACACACACCTTTGGAAAAAATCAGGTGTGGTAGTGCACACCTTTCATCACAGTGTCTGGGAGGCAGAGGCAGGAGGATCTCTGTGAGTTCTAAGCCAGCCTGGTCTGCAGAGTAAGTCCAAGGACAGCCAGAGCTACACAATGAAACCCTGTCTAGAGGGGGGTGGGAGAGGCAGGGAGAGGGAGAAAGGGAGAGAGAGAGAGAGAAAGAAAGAAAGAAAGAAAGAAAGAAAGAAAGAAAGAAAGAAAACACAACACACTAAAATTAACCCGAGCCCCAAAGTCCTTATAACTCAAAGAACTTCTTTCCAGTTACAATGGACATTTGGAACAGAAGCTGTGACACTTCACATTAAACTTTGCACATTCAGTTTTGAATATACTGTGTGCACTTTTCTACCACCAAAACCAAAAAGATTCATGACACAAATTAGAAGTAGAAAAACTAAATGGAAGTAAAGAGCACAAGCCGTGAAAGAGGATACAAAGTCACAATTTTCTCCTCAGAAACATTGTCCTAATATCTGTTAGAATGCTTAGATTGCACACACAATGTTTTATGTCTCCCTCAAGTAAATTAATATAAAGAAAAAGGCACAAATGTAGGCTACTGAGTAGAGTGACCACAAGGACATATATTGCAACACACTGTAGCGTATGGTTAACAGAATGCTATTTTGGAGGCATCATCTCAGGCGTTTTTCATACAAATGCTACAACTAAGCAAATACTTTTCCAGCACAGTTTAGAAATGAAAGTGTAATCAACTGATGGCTTATTTTAAAGTGATTAAATTGTAAATCTTCTTTTTAAAAAGAAGGGACCTGGTTGGAGGTCAGGGCAGGAGGATTAGGAGTTCAAAGTCATCCTGGCTACACAGCAAGTTAGAGGGAAGCCTGGACTGTGTAAGACTCTGTCTCAAAACACCAAAGTTAATTAATTTAAAAGTAATTTAAAAGACCATTTGAGACAAGACCAGGATGAGTAGTACATGTTTAGGGGAAAGGAAGAAAGGAAGGAAGGAAGAAATCTTTGCTTAGCAGCACAAACATGGAAGAAAGCTTATGAAACATTTACCGATTCAGTGATTCATAAAATCAAGAATTTAAGACTCCGGGAACTGTTGGGAACTGCTGAAAATTACAGGGTGATTTTAATAATAGTTCCAAATGCCTTTCAGGATGTCTACAATCCTCTTTTGCATTGCAAGTTTTTATATCAGCCTGACTTGGATAAAGGAATAGAGAAAGTGCTGATATAGCTTAAGACTGATATCAGATATTTGGCTTGGATTATTATTTCATGTATTATTTATGGGTTTCAAATGTCATGAATATCTAAAAATTAATTTGGTAAACTGACAATACATTTTAGCCAGCCGTTAAAACTACTTGATAACTATGTGGCCTTGAGTGTGTAAGCTGATGCCTTGTATCTAATGGATATTTATTTACAGGATTTTCTTCATCAGTAGAAATGGTTGCTATTAATGACTATGATTGAAAATATTCATAATTGAGTACCAACTCTGGAGAAGGAGGTTTAGTCCTTTGCTCTTCTGTGTTTTGAAGGTCATAGCAATTCTGGCCCAGGAGCATTTACAGAGATAGTAAATGAAGAAGTAACATGTTGTCTTTTTAAGGAAAAACAAAGTTAAGGAGTAATGTTCAGTGTTCTAACATATGGCAACTGAATATTAAAATCTACTATTCTTCTGCTCAACTTTTCCAGGCCATTTGGTTACCTAGGTACTGACTAGACAAAATAATACTGATTTATTATCCTGGGAAAATATGCCAAAAGTCAGACAGTATATGGTCTTCCAGACATTTTATTCCATTTTTTCATGGGGTTTCTTTTTGTAATTTTTTTAAGCAGATAAAATTTTCAACCATAACATCTACTCACAATTTCCATTGTCAGGTTAACAAACAGGCTTGACATTTCAACTGTACATGGGGTTTGGCATAGATTTGAAGATTCCTTTTGGTCTTCATGGATAGAGTATGTGCTATCCATGACAAGCAATGTTGCATGACACCCAATGATAGCACTAAGGTCTTTGCCCAGGCAGGGGATTAATTTCTTAGACACTTGGTGGAGAAATTCAACTACAGGTCAACTGTGTCCAGACTACAGTTATGAGTTGAGTGCATAATCATTATATAAAGGGGGAAAATGGCTGAGAACTACAGTTTTTTAAATTTTCAAAATCAAATGTCATTTTTAGAAGTATAACTGGAGAGCTGGGCATGGTGGCACATGTCATAAGTCCCTTGTCATTTGGGAGACAGAGACAGGGAAGAGTTGAGAAAGTCCCCAGTGACTGCTGGAAATGCTGGCATTTGTCTTTTTATGCCCCAGCCATTATTGCTGTTCCCATCTCAAATGCAGAATAGGTGCCTCTCAAAGTCAGCTTTTCTAGTTCCCAAGGAAATCTGGGAAACTAGTGGGGACACAGCTGAGGGCTGCAAGGCTATCTTCACTGCCTTATCCTTGGGCAGACAACTGGTGTAAAGACAGTTTCTCCTGCGACAACGCTGGGCAGCTGTTGTGGCCCTCCAGCTATGTGGAGAAGTAAAATTGCCTTAGAGCATGTGCATGCAAGTGCTCTCCTTCCAACTAAGAAACTTGGGCGCATTGTTATAAAGAGCACGCTTTCCTCACAAAGCTTATCTTCCTGCTTTGCGTGTGTGTTGGGGAAGGGGCAATAAACACAAAACAGCATGATTAATATGTTATCATGCTAGGGGGTGATAAGTGCTACTGAGAAAAAAAAAAAAAAAAAGGAAAGGGTTGTCTGAGGCAGGTCAGCAAGGCCTCTATCTGGCCTTTACTCACGTCTGAGCAACGTCAAGGAGGCCAGAGAGGGAGTGGCCCTATCTAGGCTTCGGGGAAGAGAATTTCAGGAAAGAACACTCAATGTAAAGGCTCAGGCAGAGGGCAGCCCTGCCCCTGTTCGGTGAAGAAGAGCAGAAGCACAGAGGCAGAAAGTGGGGAGCCAATAAGTGGAAGAGGCCAAGAGGAAGATGTCAAGAGGATTTTGCTAGAATGTTCTAAGGGTGATCTAAGAGCCACAGGAAGCCATCGAAGGAGACGAGTCACATGACATGTTGAAGGCATTCTTTTTCAGTAGCCCTGGGAAAGGCTCCATCAAAAGGGGCCAAAAGACAACTCTGCTAACAGGTGTCTCAAAGTTTGCACATGCAGCTACGAAAAGGGGAAGGTTTGAACCCTAGTGGAATGAGGGTCTGGGGGACCTGATGATTTTAGGATGCAACCGCTTAAAATACTCTGGTCTTTCTGCTCCAGTCTTAGGTCCCCCTCCCTCGAGGGTCAAGGCCCAGACAGACTGTTTGCCTTAGGACTGCGGGACCTCTCCACCTGCTAGAGTTGTAGGCATCAGAAACTGTTTCCCTTCCAACAGGAGCGTCAGGTCCAGCTCAGAGCGGACTCATCAGTATTCCGCCCGCGGAGTCTCTCCCCGCCCCCGCCCTGCATCAGGGCTTCTGCCTTCCTCGCTGAGACAGTCCCCTGAGGTCCGCGCAACCCCATCGCCCCGCCTGTCCCCTTCTCCCTTGTCCTCAGCCCACCCTGCACTGGCGCTTGCCTGGAGGCCTTTGCCACCCGCGCGGCTCTGCTAAACCACCTAGGCTTTGCCCTAAGATGGTGGAGGCCATAGTCTGCAGACTGAAGAGGGGGCGCCTTGGGCTCAGCTCACAGGCAAGACTGCCTGGGGAGGGAAACCCACGCTAAAACATCCTTGCAACCGCTCCCTGGAGACTTTCAACCTCCGTGCATCTCATCCAATGTCCCCCGAGCCTCCTGCAATGCACCAGATCGCAAGACACACACCCAAGGCACCTGCACTGCGCCCCCACTGGGATGCGCTGTGACCCTAAGAGGGACCGAGTACTGCAAACCTGGAGAACCCAGGGCGCGGGAATCCAGGGGTGGGTTGTACAGGACTCACCTTGTGCAATTTCCACATGGCCCCCAAAGCCTTGACTTCGTGGCTGGAGTGTTTGCCCTCCTCCAGGCACTGGTAGCACACCGGCATCTTGCACTGCACGCAGTACATGCTGTGGTTCTCTAGCTCGTGGTCTGTGCAGGTGGAGACCTTGCGCGGGCTCAGCCGCCGGCTTACGCGGCCCTGGGCCGGGGGCACCAAGCGGTGTTTGGCTAGGGGCCCACGCGGGGGGTGACAGCGCAGGCGGCAAGGGTCGCAGTAGAAGACGTCGCACTGTTCGCACATGACCGTGGCTTCTTTGGGCGCTTTCTCGCAGAGCTGGCACTTGAGGGCCGCGGCTTTGCTCTGTTGGTAGCGGTCGATGACCCCTTCCAGAACGCGGTTCTTGGGGAAGCCGCGAAGCCCCCGGTCATCCAAGATGAGGCTGCGGTGGCACTGGGGACAGGTGATGCAGGAGTTGCGGGGCACCGGGGCCAAAGCCGGTGACAGGTGGGTGGGCGGTGGCGGCATAGCAGGGGGGAAAACGCGGACGCCGTTGGGCGACTTCTGGCACGGGGTAGTGGGGGCGCTGGCGAAGCCTCCGTAGGAGCCATAGCCGCTGTCCGCCTCGCTGTACAGGCTCATCTTGTCCAGGTCCAGGTAGGCAGAGTTGGAGACCCCAGAGCCCGAGGCCCGGCGGCTCTGGGGGGACTCGGACTCCGGGGTCTGCACCAGGATGTTGCGGGCGCATGCCTGACATAAATTGTGAGAGCAGGGCAGGATGATGGGCTCCCGATAGAAGGAGCCACACACAGGACATTTTAACTCTTCTTCC